ATAGCTAAGTTATTCTCAATTTTGTGAAAATATGGGTTAAAGACAGGGTGACCCAGGCCTTAATTAACCTGAGCGGTAGCAGGGGCGGCCGTTTTGGGAATATCGATAACTGTAGACTTATTTCACCACTATCAAAAATTACGCGATCTGATTGGCCAATTTGCCGTTGTGGATGAAAGTAAAGACAACGTTGCTCGCGTCAACTCGCAATGGTCACCCTCTGAAAGAATCGTTTCTTAAGAAAAAAGAGGGAAGATTTGGCCTTGGTAGTTACTATAGTCGTTTTTTGTTGATAGAAAATTGTAAATCATATCCTGGATTTTCAATACACACGTTTAACAAGATCTAACAAATTTGAATTCGGGTTTTTCTCCGAGCGTTCATAATTTTCAAATTATGAGCGTTTGCAAGAAGGCAGGCACCCACCTGCTCTCCCTCCAGCCCTTAAGTCTATGACTGTGAATGGATTTCCACACACGTTGAAGCAAACAGGCATCCCTAATTTACACAACTACTAACACTGGTGACGGAGAGCACCACAAGACTTTATGAAACCCTTCATGTCAAGTGTAAAATTCAATTCGTTACAGCACTGGCAGATTTAGTCCGAGCAGCTGGAACTTTACTGAGAAAGGTTATGTCGTAAAGGATCGCGGTCTGCGCCTGGGGTGTCGTCAGGATTTTTTAAAGGGGGGGGGGGGAGTCACGCTGTCTGAAACAGAGGGTACTCACCAGAATGACATGTCTACCTCCAAGCCGCGTTTTACTCAATGTGATGACAAAAAAAAACCCTAAAAGGAACCGCGGCATGACAATTTTGAACTAGAATAACTTTTGTTAGATTACCGACAGAAACACTTCGGGACCTTTCATTTTTCAAATTTTCCCAACCTCTTATCCGCCTACTTGGTTAGCACTACTCGTAAACGAGCCCACAGTGCAGTGGTGTCTGTTAAACGTCATGCGCACTGAAGAACTTGATCTGCCGTGTTCTTATCGTAGTATAACATACGTGAACACAGTGCGCATCGTCTAATTTGTTAATTCAGTTTCCAAGTGAATGTGTTATCAGGTTACAGAGCCCGGAAAAATGTGTTTTGTTGCTTAAATATTTAAATTTTTGAACTTGATCGGCTGAAGTATAAAAAACTGTTTTTTCTTTTTTACGCAGCTCAGAAACTTATCGAAGAGCTAACAGAGGGTAGCAATTCACTCTATTTGCTTTGAAAGACCTTTATAGAGCAAAAGAATCTGTAAGTCACCACTCCTAGTTGGTACTATTAGAACTGAGGGCTGATCATGATATTTTTCATTGTTTGAAGAGCATCAATGGTTTATCTGATTCAGTTGTAACTCGACATTCTATAATGACAGTTTCTTTTATTTATGGTCATCGGAGCCAAAAACCCGGAAGTACTTTCATTAATAGTCTGTCTATGATAAGAGTAAATTACAGCGCAATTTACGCTTTGTTATTCAGCTCAATTCTTTTTGTTAGCTTAAAGAAAAATAAAGTTTTATACTGTGAAAAATTTAAATAAGAAACCCAATAATCATTGCCATCCATTGGATTTGAAAGACAGTTCTCCTACACAAAGAGTCATAAGCACCTTCTTAGTGTGATATGACCTAGCAACTCTGATAATAGGACTGCAGTCCTATTCTTTTGTCACCTTTTTGCTGATTGATTCCAAGATAAAATTTTAAAATTACTAGGTATGCTTTGTTGCCAGCACAAAGTTTAAATGTTCCTCCTTTGTGTTGTTCATTTATGTTACTTTTAAAAACCTGGATTTCCTCTTTTTTCAGCCATTACTAAGATTAAGGAAGTGGCCATGCTTATGTTTAACGAGCTATTCAGTAAACCAGACCACACTTTCAGATGCCAGGTTTGATCCGTATAATTTTAATTATCCTTTTTATTATCACCATTAAACCTATTATTATCATTATTATTGTTATTTTCTTGATATCATTATATATCTCCTCATGAATTAAATAACTACTCTATAACATGGATTGAAAGCATTTGGTTTATTATCTGCTATATAAGTCTATGGTGAGTAAACTGTGGATGACTTCCAATAGTAAAGTACTTTGTGCAGGTATAATCACATGATTTGAATTGGAGTGTAGTATAAATATACATATTGAACATTGAATTTTCTAAAATTTACCAGTTCTCAAAAATTTATTCCAAATAGCACAGGAAAAAATCATGTGATTACTTACCAATAATGTAAATTAAAAATTGCTGAGTTACCCCATAAAAGTAGCACAGAGGCAAAGCTCTCAAATCATATGTAAAGCTCAAAATAATTTCCAGCTGGTGCTGGTCAAGTTGTTCAGCCAAACCAATTGTTTGCTGGGACACCAATGTTTGGCCAGATAAATGTCCATTGTATCAGATCTCAATAAATCCTTGTTCCTCCCCCCTCCAGTATATTTTTCTGGCATTTTCTCTCCTCTGCTAATATTGCACTGTTGACCATTTGCTCCACTTTACTAATGTTCTGGTTTGGTAATATCTGCCTTTTCCTACATCTAGGCAGTTTGGAAAGCTGCAAAACTTTAGAATAAAAGTTCATCAACAAATGCTTTTCATCCAGCCAATTTATTCTTGTTTTTCTCATTACCATGTTCCCAACAATGGCATAGCTCCATTTTCTGCATATAAACACACACACACAACCCACAATTCCTCTACTCACTCTGATGAAGGGCTACCACTCCAAATGTCAGCTTTGAAACTCTTAACAGTGGCCAATTTATTTTATCAACTCAGTTGATAATAACAAATTACCTTGCTATACTCTCCCACTAACACAGCACCACAGTCTTCAGAAACTTACCCTCTAAACCTACTACACCAAACTACACCGAACTACACCTGCTACACTTACTGCACCAAACTACACTAGACTACACATACTGCACCAAACTACCCTTACTTCTCAAACTATTTGATTTTATGATAAATGTTATAGTTTTTCCTTAGATAGTGTAAAACCTTGTTTCATATTTGTGATGGTAATCATGGATCTAGTATAATTATAATCTGATCAAGATTCCTCAAAAAAGGGTTATGCAATTTTGGAGTAAATTAGATATATTCATCTCAAAGTTTCTAGGAACTACAAAGGTCACAAATTCACCGCCACAAGTGGAGGCTTTCTTGAAAGATATGGTAATACACCCCTGACATGTTAAACTGATTAGCTCTTTGATTAGTATTCAACCAACTTGCCCCCAGGGACCAACTTGCTCATGCATAAAATCACTTCAATAAGCTCATTACAGATTTAGACTTGTTTCAGTTTAGTTTTGATGTTTTTGGCAGCTGGTAATTACCATCACATTCAAACATTTAGATGCTATGGACGCTTTCCAACACCTCTGGAACACTTATTACACTGCAGAATTGTATATTTCTTCAGTAGGAAAGCTGTTATTTTATTTACATGTTACACTTTTGTGTTGTTTTGTTTGTTGTGTTACATAATTTGGCCAAAGAATCAAAGCAATTGTTCGGGGATTTAGATCTCAGCATGTAAGTGTTCATATGTAATAGTATGCCAGTTGCTGGACACTTTGGTTTGGTAATATCTGTGAATATTATTTATTAAATGGATATGAGAAGGATCTTTGCCAGAATAAACACTATTTCAAGGGAAATAGAAAAGTAATTTTACATGTGGGTGGGTTGGTGTGGGCAATTAGTTCATGGGTGATTTGACTGTTAATTTCACTCACATTTTACAAGCTAATCAAATTACTGGGCTAGACTGTAACATGAATTGTGTTAAATTTAGTACTTGGATCAAACTTAAGACCTTATTATTTACAGACAGCTGATGATCACATGTTGGATCCCAAAGCTGTAATGTTCAACATGTCAACATATTGTTATACAAGCTAAATTGTTAAAAATGGTTTCATAATTGATTCTTTTATGGGTCGGTCTTTCAATACTTTTTGCTCCTAATCTCTTTAAAGAATTATATCACACACATGCCCATCAATTTTTTCATGATAATTAATGATGGTGTGATGGAAAGACTACAGCTAGCAAGACACATGTCTAATTTTACATTTATGCACCTGCAACTTTTAAGAAAAGAATGGTAATGCCAATTTTTTAATATTTAATTGCAATCAGCATATCAAGGTTCACCTTGTTCAAAGTTACCTTTAAACTCCCTTCACATGTTGCTGTTTTGTTAATATTCAACAAGTATTCGCAGAAGGTTAGGAGAGTATCATTGTACAATATTCAATGAGTGTAAGGTGAATAATTGTTTTAGTACAATTGCTTGTAAATGCATTTGAAATCTCTTGTAAATGTTTGTTTTGATGTTGAACCCATTCTGTTATAATTGTTTTGATTACTCATATTAAAATAGAGTCAGTTCCCACTAGGATTTGATAGGTTCATTAAATTCACTTGGCAAAAACTTCATGTCTTTATTTTAAAAAGTGTTACTCCAAACTTAATTTCTAGCATCGTTTTTGCACTTCCTCTGTAAAACTGACAAAACCTGAGGCAGCCATTTTGAAATTTAGTGCTCCTGCTATAATCACCTAAAAGAAGATATGATGCAATCCTCTACTAATCAGAGGGTGTACATCTCTATAATCACTGGAGCAATTATAGTAAAAAACTGCATTGTAACTGAAGTTTTAAAACAATCAGTGAAGTATGTTCAGAACCATCTTAAATGCATTACATTGTTGCAGAATTAAGGTGGCACTGAGACCACAACACACCTATATTTTGAACTTTGCAAAAACAATCAAATTCAATATGTTAATGTAAACATTAGGCGCTCACACATACCTGGGTTTATGTACCTGTAACATTTATGTTTGGGAGCAGAACATGTGGTTTATTTATCACATGCATGAATATAAATTTGGCAAGGGCTGCAAACTTTTCATGCATAAATTAATCTGTGATTGCTAAATGTTGCTGCTATTGAAATTCATCTTTGTAGGCAAGGATGGCAGGTCTTAAGGCAGGAGGGCAGATGCCATATTGTGAACTATGTATTTCCAAGACTTGTGTCTGGACAAGGAAAGAGATATATAGAGTAAGAGAACAGAGTTTAGAATTTATTTATCATAATATTGTATAAATTTTATCTAGAGAATTTAAACCAGTCCTCAAATCCAATCTCAATTTTTTAAAGTCTATCTTCTTTGTCAGAATTTGTGCTGCAAACTTGCTTATTTGAATTATCTCACGCAATGCTCAGAAGATCATAGTTAGGTTCTCTATAGAGGTGTCCTCTTGGATATCTTAGAAATCATTTTCTAGATGTGCTTCAACTTTTTCTTTGGCTATATTTTTGTAGTTTCCAGAGCATGTATGTTACATCTGCAAAATATCATTCACTACTCAAGATCCAGATGATAAAACAGTATTTGGCTACGTGTGCAGACCAGCTAACCCCTCTGAAAACAATTATGAGCTTTATGCTTTTAAGTCCGAAGAAGTAAGTAAAACCAAAAAGGGCCTTGTGATAACTTAGCTGAATTATTAGGAATTCATATAGCCTGTTTATTTATGGACGAGTTTACCGTGGGAATGTTGTCTTCTTTAAAGAAAAACAATATGCAAGACCAGGCTTTGGACTTTGTAAGGGTTCTTTCATCAGAACCAATTAAGGTTGCCCGGTGATTAAGATGTCAGATAGAGAGAGCTCAAGTTGTGAAAGCAAATGGATTTGTTTCAAGGATTGCAGAGTGGTAGCATATATAATCTTAGAATGGAGGCATGTTTGACAGACAACCCCTTGGAAATAAGTTTGATTTGATCCCTAGGACGTCCCTTGGCGCGGTTCTGTCTCTACAGGAATTAGTATCAATCTGTTTGGTACTCAGGTTGCGTTAAAGTAGCAAAATAACTCCTTTTCACCGTAGCGGTGAAGGTTTTAAACTTTAAGAAAAAAAGGCCGTGAATCGACCAGAATACCTGCAGACACTGTAATTTCAGAAGTACAAAGAAATTTTTTATGACATCATTACATTTGAACCCCAAAAAGTTATCTTCCTTTGCCAAAGTTCTACGGAAGGAAAGGTATTCCATGTGATACCCAAATCAGACAGACATATTTCAGCAAACGCATAAACATTTGAGAATGAAGGGTTCATACGTTCTTAGTTACACATTTCTCTTTGATGATTTAGGATGATTACAAGGGTAAAATATTACGAATGTATCGGCCATTTTTGAAAATGAAGTAACTAGCCAATTTGTTTGGTGCAGTTTTACCCCTTGTCTTGGAGGTGAAATTTCTTTCTTCAGACAAAAACCCTTCATTTATTATACAGATTACAACTTTAAGACTCTCGAGTGCATGTCTCGATGAGTTGCGAGCTTTTAATATATTGCATAACGTTTTTGCTCTTCAGGCCGAGGTTATCATTAAAACCTTGAGGAAATATATAGGACCTACGACTAATATCATGACAAAGGCGACCGGATCATTAGATGGTATGTACTACTGAGCCAAAGTACCCCATGTACGTTATTTAATAGCTAGCCAGGTTAGTTTTGTACTACATAAATGACCTATTGATTTCCTTGTCGCCTGAGTCTGTTTTCGGGCGCGCATCTCTTCGATATCAGCTCACTCTTGTGCAGGATTGTCATTAGTTACAAAGTGCTTATCATCACCATCATAACTTTCATCATTGTTATTTTTTATCCATCTTGTCAATCTAATCAGACACAATCCTTCACGTGACTTAAGGGCACGTGCATAACGGAGGCGTCTAAACACTTACATGAAGGTGCTCTGTTTAAGAGCAGTCTGAGTACACGCAGATAAACATCCAGTTGGATGTTGCTATAAGTGCCACTCAGTTTACTTAGTCAAACAACAAGTGATGAAGGATAACTTAAAACTGGGTTTGATTCATTTTTAGGTAGGAAGAATGATAAAATAACAGATGATAATCTTAATGGTCTTGAAGTTGGATAAGTGGTAGAGATCCTCTGGCCAATAGTATTCATGATATTTTTCATTGTTTTAAGAGCATCGATGGATCATCTGATTCGGTTGTAACTCGACTTCTTTTATCAATTGACACAGAAGCCAAAAACCTGAAATACTCTGATTAATAGTCTGCCTTTGAAAAGAGTAAATTACAAAACTATTTACGCTTTCTTATTCGTCTCAATTCCTTCTTTTAACTTAAAGAATACTCAAACTTATCAGGTGGATGTTTTTATCTTGATCAAATGCTAAGTTCTCTTAGTAAATATACAGGGAAATGTGTAGCTCTTAGAGGGGAAAATTAACAATCAGATCTTGGGAGTTAAAGGGTTAATCTAATGAACATTCAAAGAGGACTTCAATTACTTGATTGCCTTTGTTTTGATTTAAAGTAGAAAGAGTTCTGTTTTGTTTCCTTGTCGAGTTTACGCCCCCATTTTCCAGATACTGTTGTTCACAGTTTGAAGTACTTACTTGGCTAGCATTCCTGATAAATCAGTTACAATTACACGAGAATTATACCCCTATAGTAGTAGACCCCTTAAGTATCGAGGCAGTTAAAGTTAGGAGATCTAAGGAGTTAGATCAGAGTTTTTTTTACATAAGATGTTTCAAGTAATGGAAAGTTGCAGTTTTTCTAAGCCCTTAAAGACAGAATCAGACGTGAGTTCCAGCCTATTGTATTTGGTTTCGTTTTCCTTTCGATTCCGCTTCTTTTGAAATTAGCCTTAGCCCATTTTTTAATCTTGTACATCGCAATTTCCCCTTTTAGTTTTAACGGCATGTGTATGATAGTCAGAAGATAGCATTAAACGTTGTTGAATCAACTTGTGTTGTCGATTCCTACACTGTGGTTGACACTCCCCGAACTCCAGTGCACAACACCCCGTGTCCGCTGCATTAGGTACGCGACAGTTAAACAGAGGAAAATGCAAATCAACCCCACGTGGCAAGCTTTTTTTTTTTATCCTCTTAGAGTGAAAATAAGGGAGAAATAATGTCCTATGGGTAGAAGAAACTTTTAAGCTAAAGAAAGAAATATCCATTTCAGATGATCATAATTTCTTATAATGATATCTTTGGACAGGAGAATCTAAGGAACGTGTACAATCTGCCACACATTTAACTTCTCACCGATCAGCAAAATCTAAAGATGAAGTGAAGCAGTTAGAGCAAGGAGCACGTAGAAGTAATGGATCTGTAGTAACAGCCAAATATGTCTCGGATAGAACGTCAAGTGAAATTTCAGATGCTGTGAAAGTGGATATGGTAAAGGAAGTGTCTTCCGAACACCTTTCAGAAAAGCCGTATGCGCACTCGCATGCATCCGCAATGCCCAGAAATGATTTGGCAGTTAACAAAGGAAGTGGTTGGTACTTAGTATATTTTTGTTAATTTTTGGAATCAATTAAATGTAAATTCAATGCTGATTTGTAACCATAGTCAAACCTGTATTAAGGGCTGGTTTTCAGTCTCGAAATTCTGAAAAAAGAAATATCCATTTCAAATGATCATAATTTCTTATAATGATATCTTTGGACAGGAGAATCTAAGGAACGTGTACAATCTGCCACACAATTAACTTCTCACCGATCAGCAAAATCTAAAGATGAAGTGAAGCAGTTAGAGCAAGGAGCACGTAGAAATAATGGATCTGTAGTAACAGCCAAATATGTCTCGGATAGAAAGTCAAGTGAAATTTCAGATGCTGTGAAAGTGGATATGGTAAAGGAAGTGTCTTCCGAACACCTTTCAGAAAAGCCGTATGCGCACTCGCATGCATCCGCAATGCCCAGAAATGATTTGGCAGTTAACAAAGGAAGTGGTTGGTACTTAATATATTTTTGTTAATTTTTGGAATCAATTAAATGTAAATTCAATGCTGATTTGTAACCATAGTCAAACCTGTATTAAGGGCTTGTTTTCAGTCTCGAAGTTCTGAAAAAAGAAATATCCATTTCAGATGATCATAATTTCTTATAATGATATCTTTGGACAGGAGAATCTAAGGAACGTGTACAATCTGCCACACATTTAACTTCTCACCGATCAGCAAAATCTAAAGATGAAGTGAAGCAGTTAGAGCAAGGAGCACGTAGAAATAATGGATCTGTAGTAACAGCCAAATATGTCTCGGATAGAAAGTCAAGTGAAATTTCAGATGCTGTGAAAGTGGATATGGTAAAGGAAATGTCTTCCGAACACCTTTCAAAAAAGCCGTATGCGCACTCGCATGCATCCGCAATGCCCAGAAATGATTTGGCAGTTAACAAAGGAAGTGGTTGGTACTTAGTATATTTTTGTTAATTTTTGGAATCAATTAAATGTATATTCAATGCTGATTTGTAACCATAGTCAAACCTGTATTAAGGGCTGGTTTTCAGTCTCGAAATTCTGAAAAAAGAAATATCCATTTCAGATGATCATAATTTCTTATAATGATATCTTTGGACAGGAGAATCTAAGGAACGTGTACAATCTGCCACACAATTAACTTCTCACCGATCAGCAAAATCTAAAGATGAAGTGAAGCAGTTAGAGCAAGGAGCACGTAGAAATAATGGATCTGTAGTAACAGCCAAATATGTCTCGGATAGAAAGTCAAGTGAAATTTCAGATGCTGTGAAAGTGGATATGGTAAAGGAAATGTCTTCCGAACACCTTTCAGAAAAGCCGTATGCGCACTCGCATGCATCCGCAATGCCCAGAAATGATTTGGCAGTTAACAAAGGAAGTGGTTGGTACTCAATATCTTTTTGTTAAATTTTTGGAATCAATTAAATGTATATTCAATGCTGATTTGTAACCATAGCCAAACCTGTATTAAGGGCTGGTTTTCAGTCTCGAAATTCTTGAACATTGTGATTTTCATCTTTTTTAAGCAATTATGTTCACCCTTTACTTGAGTCCCAACAGCCTGTTGGTATTGCTTCCTACCTGTATTGAATGGTCACTTAAAGAGGGACCACTCAAATAAACTAAGAATAATCTTTCAAGAAAAATTTAATCCATGTTCATCTTCGTTAAAACAATTAGTAGTATTTTTGAGCAAGTTCTCGTAGAATCAGTGGTCAATTGTAGAATGAAATGGAGTTTTGTACAAAACCCTTTTTCTGTGGAACCTGCTATTCCCTGTGGGTGACCGCTTAATACAGGTTCAATTGTGTAATGCTGTTGTAAAATTTTCAATGGAAATGCATGTACTGTAGTGTTGCTGGTGACAGACTCCCTCTAATAAGGAAGCATCAAGAGATGTCTCAAGTCGTCTTCAGAATCAACCTATTTACTGCGAGTCTTTGTAGTTTAGCAATTTTGAATTGTGTATTGCAGCCATCAGGCTGCTTATTTATCACGAAATGCAGACACAGAAGATGATTCAGTTTACAGAGCATTTAGGCTCATATTTTTCTCCCCTATTCTGCTAATTTTATTTTCCCTTTGATATTCTCAAGTCAAAGGATACCTGGCAAAATAATTTTTAATTTTTGTTAAGTATTGATATGTTTCTTAGCTATTGCTAGAATAAATTTGAAGTATAGAGAAAATGTACAACAAAGAGCTGTAAGGAACTAATCCAAGTGGGGACCCACTCTTACAAGGCTGAACAACAAATGAGATGTGCATAGAAAAAAAACACAATTGGCACTCTGCCCATAGGCTTGACTAGACCTATACATTTTTACTCGAAGTAAAAATTTTACTTAAGCTTGTAAAGCGATAGAGGGTTTAGGAGGATGTAGGAGTGGCTTTTTTATGTGAAAGTTTATCACAACTGTAATGGTAAAGGTAAAGTCTGTACTCAAGCCAAGTAGCCCACTAAGCGGGAGCTTATTCCAGTTTCCTTAACGTGAAGTGACTAGCAGCATCACTTCACCCCCGTGATGGGATGCTAGCCCAAGGCAAGGTTACCCCCCAGAATTTTATTAAGCTTCCCTGACAACATGCTGGTACCTATTTACAACATGTATACTCCTGGGTGAAGAGAGGCACTAAGAGAATAAAGTGTTTTGCCCAAGATCACAACACATTGGGCCAGGGGCCCGTTTCTTCAAATTTCTGCCAACCTAACGGGCCTGAAGCCATATTTTAAGATCAAAAGTAAGAGAATAGAGAAGCAGGCTCTGACGCCCAAACCAGTCCACTTTGTTTCTTTAGCTGAAAGTTTTATTGTATAATTCTGAAAACTTTTGAAACTCCCATCTTGAATGAAAACAGAACAGCGGTATGGGCCCGTTGACATGTGGTTACCGAGAAACAGGCCCCGGGTCTCGAACCCAGAGTCCAGCACACTAACCTTATAGGCTAACATGTCTTTCACGATCACAACTATAATAAGGTTTGAACTGTCGACAGTTTGCAACCGGTTAAGCATGATTTTACTAGTGACCAGAAATTGTTGTAATAGTAAAATTTTTCCTGCAGGTGGCAATGGTATCATGTCAGTTGATAACCGTTATGGTTTGGAGGTTGGATCTATGGTAGAGGTTCCCAGGATGGAGGGTGTTCCAAGATATGGTGTCATTCGCTGGATGGGAAATATTCCACAAGTGAAGGAAAAGCTGGTAGCAGTTCTGGAATTGGTGAGTGAGATTTATCAGGCTCAGGCAGAGTAAAAAAATTACAGTAAACGATATATTTTATTTTTTTAGCACTTTATTATTAATTATTGTATCACCAACATTTATCTATACTTTTTTTTCTTTGAAGGAAGAAGAGGAGTTTGCATGTTCAGATGGGACTTTTACTAAAGAAAGATATTTCACCTGCCCAGCAGGAAGAGGTTTCTTTGTTTTACTGGAGCATTGCCGACCAGATTCCCGCTTTGCTAACTCACCAACCACTGATGTTAGTTTAACTGCTGGAAAAGGTAAGCAAGCCAGGCTGAACATCACGAATGAGATGTGCACAGCAAAAAAAAAAAAAAAAAAAATTCGGGCCTTTGCCTTTAGGCTTGACTAGACCTATACATTTTCCAAGTTATTTTAAGTGAAAATTTTTTAAGCTTGTAAAGCGGGAGAAGTTGTAGTAAGATACAGGAGAGCCTTTTTTATGTGAAACTGTACGGTTAAAGGTAAAGTCTGTACTCAAGCCAAGTGGCCCACCCAGGATGTGCAGTACACTTCTGAGAAATCACCTTAAGTGTTATTCCTGGTTAAGTTGTGGGTATGTCGTGGCACAAGATCACCAAAATCTAAAGATGAGGTGAGGCAGTTAGAGCAAGGAGCACTTAGAAATAATGGATCTGTGATAACGGCCAAATTTGTCACAGATAGAAAGTCAAGTGAAATTGCGGAGTGGAAATGGAAAAGAATTCAACTAGTGAACAAAAGTATAAATTTTCCACTTCCGGCTAGGCACAGGTTTCTCATTTTGCTTTTAAACAAACAAAAAATTGAAGACGGATTTCTCATCTTGTAAACAGACAAGCGACTTATGGAGGAAAATGAACCAGGAGGAAACGTTCACAGGCTGGTGAGAGAACTGGAGGAACAGGTGACACATTTGCAAGCAGAACTACGAGAGAAAGAGTTGAGAGAGACCAGCTTACATGAACAGCTGAAGAAAAAAGAACAACTTGAAGAAAATTTAAGGAAACAATCGGTTGAGATGGAGCAGCAGCTGACAAACCTGCGTGGACAAGTACAAGAGAGAAAGGAACAACTACGAGATATAACTCAGCAAATGACGATTGTCCGAGAGCAGCTACAAGATAAAAACGAAGAAACTGCTAATTTACAGAATCAAGCTACTGCCCTAAGGCAACAACTGGAGGAAAAAGACCAGGAAATGAATGAATTGGAAACAACTCTTTCCACAGCTCAGGATGAGTTACGTGAACATCAACGACAACTGATAGATGTAACTCAGCAAATGACGATTGTCCGAGGGCAGCTACAAGAAAAAAATGAAGAAACTGCTAATTTACAGGATCAAGCTACTGCCCTAAGGCAACAACTGGAGGAAAAAGACCAGGAAATAAATGAATTAGAAACAACTCTGTCCACAGCTCAGGATGAGTTATGTGAATATCAACGACAACAGTCCCCTGAGTGGGTCATTTCACGGGATCACATTCAGCTAACGGATAGATTTCTCGGCAGTGGAGGCTGGGGAAGTGTTGTCGAAGGCAAATATTGTGGTTGTTCTGTTGCAGTGAAACAGATCCATGAGTTGATTCTCTCTCCTCACAACCGCAAATTATTTGAGCGAGAAATAGATATTGCATCAAGATGCCGCCACCCTTGCTTGCTGCAGTTCATCGGAGCTACAAATGACGAAGGGAATCCACTGTTTGTAACAGAGCTTATGGAAACAAGTTTACGCACTCTGTTGGAACAGAGAGCTCTTTCTGAGGCAGAATTGTCTTTTATTTTTCTGGATGTGGCTCGGGCGCTAAACTACCTTCACCAAAAGCAACCATCTCCAATTATTCACCGCGACATCAGCAGTGCGAATGTGCTACTCTGGCGACAGGGTGAACATTGGCGAGGCAAAGTGTCAGATTATGGAACTGCCAAATTTATGCAGCAGACCATGACAGTTGCTCCTGGTGCCATGATATACAGTCCTCCTGAAGCACTTACTAAAAATCAAACCGTCAAGGTAAGCTGTAATTGGTTTATTGTATGTATGTGCGTATTTCACGTGCATGTAAATTTATGAATCGACCTAAACTTAAGGTAACGAACATAAATTTTAATTTTGTTAATACCGTTAGAAGGTTGGGGCTTTTTATTGTGTAGACGTAAAATCAAGTATTATCGCTCATCTTGAGATAGGTATGGATCGAGACGTTCTGACTCATTAGTAAGAACTAAGAAACTTTAGTGAAGTGCTGTGTTTTCCTCTCATTTTCGTCCCTTATCTTGTTCAGGTTGATGTGTACAGTTTTGGTGTCCTCCTCTGTGAGATGTGCATCCGGGAACTGCCAAATCCAGAAAGGCGTGATCGGCAAGTCGCAATGGTTAAAAACAAATTGAATCGAGCCCTTATCCGAAAATGTTTGCAACGAGAGCCTGAGGCGAGACCAAGTGTACAAGAGATCATTGATGAACGTGAGCAATCGAACAAAAGTAAGTTTGGTCGGTTTTGCTTTTAACAGAATTAATATAATTCTGCTACTGCCAATGTAATTGCAGTGGTACGTATGCTACTGAAAGAAATCTCATATGCATCCCCCCCCCTCCCCTTCCTGGAAATCATAAGATGTGATTAGATTGGTAGTTTCAGAAATTAATTTCATTATTAAGAATTGGAGAAAGGCATGAAATTCCAAAGGAATGGAAAATGATAGGAGTATCGTCAACGAAAAGCATTTCCTACCTGGGAGGCATCCTCGGAGACTCAGGGGCTGTGAGTCGATTTCAAGTCAGGGCGGAAGAGCCCCTGGGGACATTGTCTTACAAGACTAGTTCCAAACGGTCGCAGTCGTTCTGGCATCTGATTGGTACCAGAAAATCTTTGTGTTTTTCTGCCCAATCAGAGTGAAGTATGCTTTAGAGTCCTTTCGTGTGTTTTAACACGGAAATGTACAAGAAGCTCAGTTGCTCGCCCTGTTTGTTTGGTCCGTGCGACGAAGCTTTTCCCTCGGTAAAAAGTTTCAGTCTCAGCACACAATGTAAGAGAAACCAATCAGATTGTCCGCGAAAATCTTACTAGAAATTATACTAAATACTTTCGCAGGTATCAAAAGAGAACGTATTTAAAAGTTTGCAAGGTTCGTATAAAGCACAATGGTTGCAGGCGTTAATATGTCGCTTTAAACGCTAGACGAGATGTAAGCTTAAATCGTTCTAGATTTCTCGTATAATTTGCTGCGACTGAAACTTTGCCAATCCCGTGAAGTTATTTTGTCGCACGGGCCACGCAGGTATGTCGAGCAACTGGAAAATGGCAGCAGTTGAAAAGATGAAGCTCTTTCCAAACCCCGTCGGTAACTGTCCGAAAACATCCCTCCTTCCCACAATGTTCTCGATAGAAAGTTTTTGTTCAGATTTTGTTCGCCGCTAACCGGAAACACAGCTAAGCTTTCTCTAAGCGCTTGCTGGAGGTCGTCCACGAACTTAACGTTCTCTGCAACGTTGGCGCGCCATATTGTGAAAGACTTTACTACTGTGTAAGGGTTAGATTTTGGCGCGCACAGAAAGCTACGTAAGCGTAAGCGCCAGTTGCTGCGACCGTTTGGAACTAGTCTTGTAAGACAATGTCTCCAGGGGCTCTTCCGCCCTGACTTGAAATCGACTCACAGCCCCTGGGTCTCCAGGGATGCCTGGGCGGTTGACCTTTTAGTTTTATGTAGAAAGAGTTTATGAACGATTTAAGTTTTATGATTTTTTTTTCGGTAGCTCAGTTGTACAAAACGCCCTCCCACCTTGATTCAAATCTTAAACGAAGACCATTGTCGTATTTTTGGTAATGTTTGAAATTAGGGGGATGTTATTTTATATTCCCAAGTTCTAGCTGAACCATTCATGGCACGTGCTTGAATCTGAATGGAGTGCGATCGGTTTGATTCCTATAATGCATGTTACGTATACCTTGCACTTTTAAGGTCATTCGTAATATTGCATTGGATATCCTTACTGCGCATGATTTCACACCTGACCACTGCGCACAGATTAAAAAATGGTGGCTTTTTCTTTGTGCTCGGCACTCTTCAAACGAGGAGGTTGATCTATCATTTTTTCTCTACATTGGTGTTGGGCACGTAATATCTTTCCGTGAAATAAATATAAACGAATTCTCTTCGTAGGAAAAGGAATTCAATTTTGGAAAAGCGAACGTAGTAGGATCCGATAACTATAATCTTCAGTGTATTTTAGTAATCATATGGTACGTATACTAGGTAATGCAGCTCCTAAACGAAAACTGGGACCTGTATTTTTTTTATTTCAAAATTTACATTCCTTCAAGGTGAACAATCAGTAGGTAGAGTTTGAAAAAAATCTCAGTGCAGGTTCTTTATCAGAGGACTGACCTTAGAATCACACACCAGGTACTTCGAAAATAGAAAATTCACATAGAAATAAGCTTTAATGCACTTCATTCGGATAACATATTGGTCACATGGTACTTTTTTTTTAACAAAACGTGCTTTTCAGAAGTCCACAGAAAAAATAAATAGAAATGTTAACGAGGGAGTTTATGGGTAATGTAAATACAAATTATCGATAAATTTCTCCTGTGAGAACTATGTTTACTCCTCGTTCTACAAATTACAACCTACGTGATCGCCACATCCTGTCAGTTTCTCAGCCGAGAACAACAGTGTATGGTCTATATTCATTTAATTACCTAGCTGCTAAACTATGGAATTTCCTATCTGATGGCCTGAGAGCTTGCGAGGATTTGTATGAATTTGAGAAGAAAATTCTTAGTTTTGTCAATTTTAACATTTAGTATCACAAGCATTTATTTTTATATCTGTTGTAAATTGTATCGTATTTTATAGTACTTTATATTTTATTAATGTATTATTTGAAAGGCATGTAAATTTTATATTGTTATTAGAATTTGTATTTTCATTGCATTTTATTGTATTTTAACAGGAAGACGTAAGCTTTGTAGCTACACTCAAATTCGCATTACAACTTCACGTCGATTGAAGTGATTCATTCAGAAATGGGTGTTACCGCTGGATTTTGTGCATAGAAGGCTCGATTTATTCCTTTGGGTATTCACTTCGGGGGGACACGTAGAACCGCCGAAAGCGTAATGACTAAGTTCGGATTCGGTCGTTCTGGGAAATGAGAGATCTTTTGGAGGAAGACTCAAAGGAATGAAATAATAGCGCAATTAAGCGATCTCGAGCGGCAGCGTTTACAAGTGTATATCCTTTTTGTTTTCACGTGTCAATGAACTCCAAATAATCATTGAAAACATTTATGCCCTCAGGTTTTTTCGCTCAATGTTTTTCAAGTTTGACTTGTATTTATTAAAACAGAGCATTTAAGAGCTTTAAAAAGAGATTTTGAACGAGCATATTTGATGATTGTAGGCCCAGTTGGTATTTTACTTCTTGTTATATATTGGTGTTTTAATTTTTTGCGCAGCCATCTTTTACCGGCGCGTGAGAAGCATGACTTCGGAAGAATGACTGCAGACATTTCATGCCTTCAAGCTTTTTTCGCCAAATGTTTTCAATTTTGATTTGCGCAAAATAGAAAAGGGCATTTTGCGAGCTCTATAGAGAGACCTTTGAACAAGGCGAGTGTGAAGCGTGTTTGCAAGTCGTGCATTCTCGAACATTTTTATTAGAGTGGTTTAGCAATAGGACGGGAACGTTATTTCAGAGCGGCGCGCACAGCAAAAATGTCGATAAGAAACTGGGTCGAGAACGCCGTCGCGTTGTGTTGAAAAGTGATTTAGCAGTCGTTGCAACGAGAATCCTCACCTCGGCTTTTTAAAGATCATCATCTTTGAATATTCAGTTTTATAGACCACTCTAAGGACAACAAAATTATCTTCTTAGAGAGTTATGTAACAAGCGCAAATAGAGGATAGTTATAGATACGGCATGTAAGTTGTTAAATCCACATGGGCGATTAACCTTTGAAACTATTCCATTCCAGTTTAGTCTCGAGTCTGCCGATTCATCTATCAAATTTTTAAGCCCACCAAATAGTTTTTTTTCTATGATTTGTGTCGCTGTCATTTGTTTCGTGCTACTAGATTTCAGCACTACTCGTTTTTCTTCATAATTTTGTAAAGGATAATTTGGAAATCGTCGTCGTTTTTCCCCTTGTTTACGGAATATTCTTCTCAATTATAACAGGACATCTCTTTTGAGCACCATCTTCTTAGAGTTGAAATGCATTTTGAACGGAATTATCGGGAGTTATGGCGAAACCATGTAGAAACCAAGCGACCCAATGATGGAGTTGTTTACGATGAGTTCCTATTTATCCGTGAAAGAATGAAATTAACTCAAACCAACGAAACGGTTAGACTTAGGAATAAGACTTCGTTCCTGTTTATTTTTTTTCCGTTTTTGTTTATTTTAATTTTTTTTAACGAATGAATTCGTTCAAGACTGAATCAAATTAATCGATTTAGAAAGCCGTGCCGAAATCAAGTTGATCGTCATGTCATTTTATTTCTAAGCGAGTGCATGACTTTCTTGTCTTAGTTTTCATCATCGCTGATCAAAAATTTCAAACATAAAAAAGTGCATACCTGAGCTATTCTCAATTTTGTTTCATATCTGACTTCAATTCGCAGAAAAGTTTTCAATCACGGTGAAAACGACAATAACAAAAAATCACACTGAATAATACAGTTGGTAAGCGTCGTGATATTTCATTTTTATAAACTTCAACATGAAGCAAGTTTAATTTATTGATGAATTAATTCATGATAAAATTAAAAGCGTCCCATTCTTAGAGTTTTCATACAGGAAGAAAGAAATGTATCAAAGAACAGCCCTTTCGCTGTTTTAAGCCTTGTTCAAATCCCTCTAATAATCGCGTGCCAGATCGCAATCCAAATTTACAAAAGTCTTATCTAAGAAAATATATAGCTTCAAGTCTGACAGTTCTTAACACATTTTTGCGAATCTGAAATTCATCAGAAGCCCTTGAAAGCAATTGCTGGAGGAAGTGTTTGTGGGACGGGTGCGCACGCGCGCTGTTTTTGTCAATTTAACTCCAAACTTCTGTTGTTTACATTTAAGCAAATTCGGCGTTCCTTGCTTTGTGGTTAAGAATTTAAAAGCAAAATTTTGCAGAATTGAAGTTATTTTTTTTTTTGGACGATAAACAAAAGAAAATTGCTACACCTCATTAAAGGGCGTTCCGATTTCTATAGCGGTCTTATATATTCAAGTGAAATCCGACGAGAACCTAAACAATAGCATGAATATATGAATACTTAACTAACTACAAACGTGGGTACACACTTAAATCGACGTGAAGTTTTAATGCGTGTTTAGATAAAATTAATGTATGTATGTACGTATCGTGTGGACTGGTTCTTGCGTCAGTGTGTCTTCATCGAGTTATGAAGCGAGCAGGTAGTTCGGAGAGCACAAAAAATGAGTAACGGTTGCTTGAGGCACAGTTAAGAGCGACTTTATCTTCTTGAGTGCTCTCCAAACTTACCAAGGGCGATAATTCGATGAACGCACAACCATACATCAACCAAGCGTTTAACAAATTCACGTTGTTATTATTTCAATGTACAATAATCTTTTAGGGTTAGACTTAAATACAGACACTCAGGATAAAATAGCGAGTAAAGTTCTGTTGTTGTGTAGGCTGTTTAGATTGCTGTATCAACTTTCTTAAGGCATTATTCCCCATGAACTAAGGGAGACGTTACACTTTATTTCATTAAACTTATGTGATTGGTCAATGTCATTGAGTTTTCTCTCCAAGTTTAAGGTGCAAATAAATGGATTTAATCTCAAAGATTAAAAAGCCATCTGAGCCATCTTCTCTTAGGGCGAAAGTGAACTCTTTACCTCTGAACACTTCCATATTAAAAGATAAAACATCTGAATCCCGCTTCAAAGACTTGACAGTTCTAGTTCAAATTCCTCACCCCACCCGGGCAAGGTTCAAACTCTTCACCCCTGGGCACGGACAGCATACAAGGATCGCAATAGGCCAGTGAAACGTGGTCAAGTGACTAGCTGTGTTAAATGGGTGTTTAACATTCAAGTAATTCGCAGAAAGAAAAGTTTTCTATCAAATAGATGACTTTCTCGAACTTTATACATGCTCTAAATATATAATTGATCGGAAAGGCAAACATTTCTCTAGGTTGCTAGAACTGCAAAAAGTTGCCCCAAACGCTAAAAGTTGCTCCGAAGCTCCTTGGCACAATCGGGACAGGCCAACAGATAACTCAAATCCCCGCGGACTCGAACTATTTTCCATTTCACTCGGGGGTTCGAATTAGTGGATTGTGCTGTATTTTATTAGGAAATCAGGAAAGACTCGTAAAGGGGCACCTAGCTCTCCGCGGCTTGGAACTTGGAACCAAAATGTGAGTAAAACAAGCTTGAAAACGCGAAAAATGAAAACTCTTTGGAAAGTGAAAATAGTTTGAAATATATGTGACCCGATTTGAAAATTTGAAAGCAATGGTGATGCTGCAGAAGAAAGATAAATCTCGGCTGTGACGTGCTGGTTCTGCAATCCGCCCACGAGTGTGATGATCTTCGGCTTTGACTCAGTTGAACGCAATCTTTTATTAATTGCAATTTTCAAAGGAACTTTCTCTTAACAATTAGTTGACGTATGGATGTAGAATGATCTAAAAGTATTCATCAGAAATCGAAATCAGGTACGGATCACATAAAACCATTATCACAAGGAATAAGAAAAGGCACGTGTGAATTGTGGACCAAACTTTCCGTTTGGGAGATGACGTAATGTAAAGTTTAAAATAGCTCATACCTATTCTTCTTAAGAACGAGGCAAGGGAAATTCCCAGAAAAGATGGCGTTGTTCCTCCATTTTCATTGTGATCAGTGCATGGTTTGTTTACAGTGAAGGTGAAATCGTCGTTCCTGTATCCTCAACAAGAAATGGAAGATCTTAGAATTAAGTATATTCTTCTACGTGATCGTGTCGGACGCTCAGTTGAAAAAAATATGTTGTCGCTCGGCCTTACGACGAAGTCTACGCCAATACAAGTTTTGCGAGGCGAGTTATTAGAAAGTGTTCCTGAGGCTGAACAGCCTACAGACTTAACTAAAGTTGCTGTTGTTGGAATTGAACGTAAATCATTACGTCTTGAATGCCCTACGGAGGATATGACTCGACTATCTGAGGAAGAAATCAACTTGCTTTTAGCAATTACTTCATCTGAAGGAAGATACCAAACGTATATAGATAGAAAACGTTTGGCATTTGGTCGACAATTGTCACCCGGAAGTACAGTTTTCGTTGGAGTGAAGGGAGCCTCAAAGGTTTTGCCTGGTGTTGTATGGTACAAAGGTATATTACCACCCAGCCTGGGAACTTGGTTTGGAGTTGAACTCACCGTAAGTACTCGTGCACTAGTTAAGTCGTGTCGCTGTAGGTAACAATGTACGTTATATAAATTTCGTACGAACAGCAACACACCAGAATGTACGAAATTATCATGATGATAACATTTTTTTAGTTAACCTGATCAGACTTACTGAAGTTGATTTCAACTCCTAGAATCTTGTCTTTAATGTCTACCTTCCTAGAAGACTGAAGGGAAGATTTGAATGATTCATTGACACTAATTCGGTTTCGCTTTCGTTGTAGGCTCATAAGTTTTGATGCGCCTGCGTTTAGTTTTGAGAATTCACCCCTCTTGATTTACCAGTAAGGACAACTTCATGTGACATGGCCTTCCTTTCCAGGATTTATAACTCAACAGTAAACAGTGTTGTTGTTTCCTTTGTATGTGCTTTTCATAAAGAACAAAAACAACCCAAGATAAAAGTCTTATTTGTGTTAAGTTTTATCAAGTAGCATGGAAACTGTCACTCCACTCTCTAGTGAATTTTTGAAGCTATCTTCCAATTTTTTTTTACTGAAATAGCTGGGAAGGTTACAATTCCGAAATAATAACTGTCATGAAATATAAGTAAAGTTTGTGAACAATATGTAATTGTAAAAATTTCCCTTCAAACAGTCATGTACATGGTGTCATCTCTCTCTAAGAATATGTTATGTTTTCTGTTAAGATTTCATAATCCAGTTTTCTGGACATGTACTATATGTTTTACACTGGATGTTGAACAGTCGGTTTAGGATAAAATTGATTTGATTATGTTGCATGCATGTTAATGATAATGAAGATGATAATGATGAAAATCATAATAATGACAATAATCTTCAATGTTAATGATTATGATCTGTGGTTTAACATATCTAGAAACATCCAGGGTCAGGGACATGTGATGGAACATTTAGAAACAAGCGATACTTTACCTGTCTGCCAGACTCTGGAGTTTTTGTTGGACTGGACAAATTGACACCTAGAGAAGATGAAGATGACTTGAAATCTTCAAAAATTGCAAAAAAAGATGAAAATATTCGGGCTAAACTGAAATCAAGTCTTAAGGATTCAATATCATCATTTTGGAAGGGAAAACATGAGCAGAGGTCATTTCAAGGAACTAATGGAGTGCTTGAGATTGATGAACGAGTTGTGACATTTATTAAAGATATTCCAGCCAGAGGAACTGTGCGATATATTAGTGAGGTTGATACAACTGGAAATGTTAACATAACTGTAGGACTAGAACTGGTAGGTATTCTTAATTTTTGACTCAATTGTACATGTCTTAGTAAATGGATCTAGAGTACCACTCAAAAGTAAGTAAACAGTCTTGACTCAAAACTATTGAGAATCCAGGATCAAGAATTGAGGCTTGAGCTATAATAATCAAGTAGCGAGTTGCTTGAGCAACCTCTTGAGGATCTTGATCTGCAATTGTGAGGAAACTATTTAATTCTTGAACCTAAACCATAAGTGAAGGACATAGCGCTTGCCACCCTGCTTTATGACACAGCCCACTTGCATGTATGCAAATGTTTTCATTTTAAACAGGGCAGGAGCTCATATCAAGTCACTCTCTACCTTTTTTAATTCTAAAAACAGTGCAATGAATACAATGCAACAGTGCATGAATATTCACCACAATTAATTGGAAAAAATTGAACTTTGGGTGCCAGGAGTGATGTCAGTTTCCTTGGTTTCTTAATCATCCACAAATCTAAAACTGAGCCATAAATATATCTTATTAGATGTTTTGGTGTGTAGTACATGTATTGCGGAGTATTTGTACGAGTTGTGCTGTATTTTGATGAGCCTGTAGGGCAAGTCAAAATACAAACAAAAATAGTTTATTGATTATCCAACTGCTTTTTTTTCTGCTATGTCTTTCTGTTCATTTCTCAAAAGGTGGGAAAAACAAAGTGGATAGAGAAACATAGTGGGCAGACGACTGGTTTAACTGGTTTTTTCAGTACAAAAGAACCAAGTGTCCATTAATAACCATTCAATATCAAAAGATATTTGTACTTTATTCCTTGGTTATTTGTACTCTACTTTGTGCAGTTGGGTAATAAATAATGGTAAGCAAGTGGAGTCTTATTTGGTCTGTAATCATTTGAGTGATTGACAAAATCAGATGGCTATGGAGTCTGATTTATCAATTACCAGTATGATTATAGACAGAATTGGACAGCACAGAGTCCTGTTGCCAATTAATCATAACCGTTACAATTTCCGAAAAAAAAGAAAAATTTTAGGACAAACATCTTTGGTACAGAAAATGTCTAATTAAAAGTAAAAAGTTTCTTCAGTTCGGAAATTCCCTAGGTGTAGGTGCTTGTTGCTATGGTTATCATGATCAATTCTGTGATTGCTTCAACTGTCCTATTACAGATGTCTGATAACGGCCAACTGTCTGATTACACTGTGCAATTACAACTGTAGAGAATGATAAGTGAAAAATAAAACAGCTAATCTACCATCACATCTGAGGAAATTGTAATGGTTATGATTAAAAGTTAAACAAACATTCCCATGGAAACTTTGATTTATAGCATTCGTTAATATTGTGTAACTTCTTGTTAGTAATGCTCTGACATGAAAGCGGATAATCTAAAGCTGTAATTCTTGCAGAAATAGTTAAAATTGAAGATAGGTGTACGTAGATAAATTGCAATCAGTCGATGGAATGAAATGAAGCACTCAGTAAGCCATTATATTTCAACTTTCTTTCCTCTTTCAGGATGAAAGAGTGGGATCTGGTTGTGGTAAATTATCAGGCTCTCAAAAGTTTATTTGTAAAAGAGATTATGCAGCATTTGTACCACTGACAACTGTCATACCAGAAAAGGACTTTGATGGTAATCCTGGAAAAGCTGCAAAACAAGAAGCTCATGGAAAGCGGGAGCAAATTCATGAAGATGAAATGCATACAAAATCAATGAGCTGTGTTAATGTACCATCAGGTAGACGAATGATTTGATATCTCAGTTGTTTTATAAATTTGTTATTTACTTAGTCAATTACACCATGCTCAATGAAGCAGAAAATCACAAACTGTGAACTGATGTCTCTTTTACTTCATTCCCTCAAAACATTCAGATGATGAGAAATTGTTCTTCCAGTTAAAAAAAAGTGTATGAAATTGAAACATTCAATTTTTGCCTTGGACATTTTGAAACACTTAAGCTTTAGGTGTATGGTGACATGGTGTCTTAGAGTGTATTTTTTCTGAATTGTGAGGTCTTTTTCAGGTAGAATCATTAGTATGAATGGTTTGCAACAGATTGCTTTGCAACTTTGCTATTAGTGGGGTCAGAATGAATGCAGGGATCGACCAACCCTGTACCAGGCCCCTCAAGGGGCATGTTGTTTTACATGGCATTGATCTTTGTTGTTGTTTTGTGAGATGCAGAGTCCAAAAAAGTGTTGCAAATTATTTTAAAGTTGTATGTTTGCTTACCTTTTTCGCTTTCTGATGAGATCATTGATCTGTGTGGGGATGTGTAAGTAATTGTAGACTTCCTGAGAGGTACAAAATTTTTACAAAAACCTTTTATTTCCAATTTATAAGTTTGTGTAAACTTCCTTAATAAGTTGTCGTTCAACTTCTGTTTCATCCATTTCATGCAACCTTGATTTTTTAAGTTATCGAGTCTTGAAAAGCTTCACAATTGTATTAAAAAGTGTATGTTTGCAAACCTCTTTTTGCTCTGGTGGGCCAACTGGAACACATTCACAACTGAAGATATCCTGTAAGTTAGGAACAATTTATAGGAATTTTTTTAATAACATTTTGCATTAAAACATTTTGTTGGTGACATTATCAGCTTCCACCACTGTTGTATCTGTGTTTTCTTGATATGAAATTCCACCTGATTAATAGCTTTACTCTTTAATTTTCCTCAAATCACTGAAGATGCTCAAAGTCAATTTAATATAAAAGTTTGTTGCAGTTACCAGATAATCTCATGCTACCAGAAGCCATTAATTAAATGCAAGGGAATGTGACCAAAAACTATCTCATTATTCAAAAAAGTGCTAAAATTGATTGTTCAGAAGCAAAAAAAAATTAACAAATTTCTAGCATTTACGAGACCTGGGCAATTAATTCACCATGCTGGAATGGATGTTTCCATCACTTCAGGGTCATAACATTGCACAGCATAGTGTTTAAAATTTTGAAAATTGAATAATTATAGGACAAAATTGTTGATTGAATAATATTTTACAACATATCAGTGCTTAAAATGACATTTATCAGTCCAAAGAGAAGCCCAAACGTTGCTAAGCCTTATTTGAAGTCAGCTAGTTTTGTTTTTATTTTTCAGCATAAGTCATTTTACCGTTTGAAAATCACATTTTCTGTTACTCCAGAGCTAATTCCATCCTGTCAAGTCTTAAATTTCCATTATTTTTGGAACTAATTATTTTTTGGAATGTATAGTGTTCATTTGAGCTCCAAAATCAAAAGGTGTAACAACTTATCATACACTTCTGCACAAGCCCATGATTTGCAAATAAAAGGATTAAGTTAAAATTTTGTACTTTTCTGGATGCCTATGGTCATTTTCACATTCCCACACAGATCAACGATCTCACTGGCCCATCATGAAAAGAAAAAAGTTTGCAAAGAAAAAAGTTTGCAAAGAAAAAAGTTTGCAAAGAAAAAAGTTTGCAAAGAAAAAAGTTTGCAAACATACAACTTAAAGAGAATTTGCAAGGTTTTTTTGACTCTGCATTTGTCACAACAGCTACAAAGATAGAGGCCAGGCAAAATTTGCCTTCGGAGGGACCTGATACAGGGTTGGCCAATCCCAGCATTCATTTGGATGCAGTATTAGCAAAGTTGCACTATGTTAATTAATTTGTGAAATTGGAAAGGCATCCAAGGGTACTTTTATCATTGTAGTGTATAGAACAGAACTTGAAGCATTGTGGTGAGGAAAGCTTAGTGGATTTGTTTTGTATCTTTATCCTAGGTACTAGTACGGAGTCTGCCAGAAAACTAAGAAGAACAAATTCGATGACGTCTGCTGAAACAGAACTCATAATGGCTGCTGGAGAATCCAGCAAAACTGATCCACAGGAGTTTATAGAGAAACAACGTCAAATGCTAAGGGAGTTCGAGGGTAAAAACCTGCCTGACAATCAAGATAATGATGTCATCATGCACGATGAAGAAAGGACAGACAGTGCCGAAAATTTTCACTTTAAAGATGATCATTTTAAAAACACTCCCCAAGACAGGTCTGTTAATGAGGGGAATAAGATAATTACAGAGCAGCCTGGTTTATCAAATGGTGACCGTAATTATACCAATTTTAACCATCAAAACACTACTCAGGAACATGATGACTATGTAAACATTGATAAGGATGGCAGTGAAACCTGGATTAGAAAATGTGAAAGACAGGGTAAGTGTGAAGCACATGATAATTTTTAGCTATTTGCTCAAAAATCCCATTTGAAAACCTGTACATTTATATTATTGAGAAATATAATTGTGTTTGCTTTTTTCTTACATACCAATCATTACACATAACAATCTTGACTATATGATATTAATTAACACAAAATCTGCAAAGAACATCACATTGATTTTGAAACAAGAGATTATATTTACTGGACTTCATGTTACCTAAATGCCTCTAAGATCTATAGTTGTTGTCTTATTTATAGTCCATTTCTGGCATAGATTTACATAAATTAAATGGAACTCAAATACTAGTGATGAACTACCAAACAACACTGCATCCACAGATTCATACTCTCCATTATGTGTAAGCATATGCAACTGAATTGTTGAATTATACTCATTTAACAAATTGACCCCCCTAGTAAAGCATTGTTATATGAGCTGTTTTGAATTATTGGAAAAACTTGAAATATACATACTGCATCCCATCTCATTCCAGTTTCAAAATTTTCAAGCCACGCTAACTTTTGAATTAATTCTCAAACACATTGACTACAAAGAGAAGGAAATTTAGGTTTTACCATCACTGAAAATAATTTGTTCACTCTCCAATGAAGAAGCTGTTCAGTTACTCTGTTTCCTCATGGACATCCATTCCTAAGTTAGCTTAAGTTACAATTAGAACCACTGTCTTCATAAGCATAAGTGTCCTTATGTTGGTAGCAAATTAATATTAAGGTGATTCCTCATGGAAAAAAATTTTTTTTAGCTTTCCTTAAATGTTCCCTACCAATGTCTGTTTTAAATAATACAGTATAATGAAAAAGTTGGGTCACTGTGCTTGTTTAAGAGATATGATGGGCATAACTTACCCCATTAATTCCAGATACTGGAACTAATCACATGCATTATTTCATTGATACACAGTACATCTTGCAGTACCTGAAAGCAAGGGTTTAGAAAATAACACTTACAAAAAAAACACACAATTGGAAGTCTCAAGGGTAATAAAGAACAATTTTGCATATCGTTTATGGAAAAATTGCTCAATTTTAAATGACATTGGCTCAAAACATTCCTCAAGTCATTGCTTTCAGGGTCATAATTTGCATCCTTGAGTAATGGGCCTGGTGCCTGTGTATCTTTTTCCCATTGATGAATTTTTTTCAGTTTCTTCTTTTTAATGGTGGTAATTTCTTTATGCACAGTAGAGGATGAGCAGTACATTACTGAGGAATCACCCTAAGTGTTATTCCTCAGTAAATTATGGGTATATCATAGTTTAAGATTAATGTTTTATCCTCTTAGTGTGAAAATAAGGGATAAATAATGTCCTTTGGGAAGAAGAAACTTTTCCGTTGAAAAAGAAGTATCCATTTCAGATGATCATAATTTCTTTTAATGATTTCTTTGGACAGAAGAATCTAAGGAACATGTACAACCTGCCACACATTTAACTTCTCACCGATCACCAACCTCTAAAGATGAAGTGAAGCAGTTACAGCAAGGAGCACATAGAAATAATGGATCTGTGGTAACAGCCAAATATGTCTCGGATAGAAAGTCAAGTGAAATTGAAGAAGCTATGGAAGTGGAAATGGAAAAGGAAATGTCTTCTAAAGACCCTTCAGAAAAGCCGTATTCACACTCACATGCATCTGCATTGCCCAGAAATGATTTGGCAGTTAACAATGGAACTGGTTGGTACTCAATATATTTTTGTTAATTTTTGGAATTAATTAAATGTATATTCAATGCTGATTTGTTACCATAGTCAAACCTGTATTAAGGGCTGGTTTTCAAAGTCTCAAAATTCTTGAACATTGTAATTTTCATCTTTTTTAAGCAATTATGGTCACCCTTTACTTGAGTCCCAATGGCCTGTTTTTATCGCTTCCTACCTGTATTGAATGGTTGCTCAAAATGGGACCACTTGAATAAAACCAAGAATAATTTTTCAAGAAAAATTTAACCCATTAAAATTAAAACAATTAGTAGTATTTTGAGCAAGTTTTTGTAGAATTAGTGGTCAGTTGTAGAATGAAATGGAGTTTTATACAATACCCTTTTTCTGTGGAACCTGTATCAAGTGGTCAACCTGTATTAAGTGGTCACCCTGCTATTCCCTGTGGGTGACTGTTTAATACAGGTTCCACTGTATTATGCACTTCTGCTCTAGAATATTTAATGGAAGTGCATGTACTGTAGTAATGCTGGTGACTGATCCCCCATATAAGGAAGCATCAAGAGATGTCTCGAAGTCATCTTCAGAATTAATCTACTTACCACAGACTTCATTTAGTTAAGCAGTTTTAAATTGTGAATTGCAGCCATCAGGCTGCTTATTTATTGCAAGATGCAAAGACACAGAAGGTGATTTAGTTTTCAGTGCATTTGGGCTTATATGTTTCTCCCCTACTCAGCTTAATTTAATTTCCCTTTGATACTCTTAAGTCAAAGGATATAGGGGGGACCTGGCACAATACTTTTTATTTTTATTAGGTATTGGTATGTATGTTAGCTGCTTCTGAAATAGATTTGAAGAGTAGAAAAAATGCACAACACGGAGAGTTTTTTAGGAACTAATCCAAATGGGGACCTACTCTTACAGGGCTGAACAACAAAAATGAGATGTACATAAACACATCTGGGGCTCTGCCTTGAGGCTTGACCAAACCTGTACTTTTTTCCACGTTATTATAAGTGAAAATTTTTTGAAAGCTTATGAAGGGAGAGAGGGTGTAGGAGAAAGTAGGAGTGCCTTTTTTATGTGAAAGTTTATTACAACTGTAAGATTAAAGGTAAATACTGTGCTCAAGCCAAGTAGCCCACTTAGCAGGAGCTTATTCCAGTTTCCTTAGCGTGAAGTGACTAGCGGCATCACTTCTCCCCTCCCCCTGGGATGGGATGCTAGCCCAAGGCAAGGTTACCCCTCACCCCCCCAGAACATTATCAGGTTTCCCTGATAATATACTGGTACCTATTTACAACATGCCTTATGCCATATCTTAAAATCAAAAGTTCAAAAATGGGGAACCAGGTTTTGACACCCTAACCAGTCCACTTGGTTTCTTTAGCTGATAGTTTTTTTTATATAATTCTCAAAACATGTGAAACTCCCATCTTTAATGAAAACAGAAGAGCTTGATGGGCCTGTTTACATGTAGTTACTGAGACCCTCGAGAAATAGGCTCTAGATCTCCAACCCAGACCTGTTCACACCAGAGTCCAGCACACTTACCACTAGACTGCCATGTCTTCCACTATCACAACTTCAATAAAGACAGTGTTGTAGACAGTTTGCAACTGGTTAAGCATTATTTTGCTAGCGACCAGTAATTATTGTAATAGTTAAATTTTTGCTGCAGGTGACAGTGGCATTGTGTCAGTTGAAAACCATTATGGAATGGAGGTTGGATCTATGGTAGAGGTTCCTATGGCACATGGTGTTCCAAGATATGGTGTCATTCGCTGGATGGGAAATATGCCACAAGTGAAGGAAAAGGTGGTAGCAGGTCTGGAATTGGTGAGTGAGATTTCTCAGGCTCAGCCAGAGTAAAAACATTGTGGTAAACCATAGATTTTGTTTTGTAGCACTTTATTTATTATTATATCACCAACATTTATTCTGTACTTTCTTTCCTTGAAGGAAGAGGAGGAGTCTGCATGTTCAGATGGGACTTTTAATAAAGAAAGATATTTCACCTGCCCAGGAGGAAGAGGTTTCTTTGTTTTACTGGAGAATTGCCGACCAGATTCCCGTTTTGCTAACTCACCAACCACTGATGTCGGTTTAAATGCTGAACAAGGTAAACAAGCCAAATTTGAAAACTGTACAGATAATTATGGCGAATGTTTCGCGTTCAACGTATATTGGAGCCACAGCCCACTACTGTGAACCTTCCAATCATGCATTACACAATACTTTTATTTAAAGATGTGGACCTGTATTTTATTTGATTATTTATTCCTGAATGTGCAGATATTGCAGATGTTGAATATTGTTCTGGAAGGGCACAAAATTGGTTTTTATCATTTAGTTGATTCTCTTGGAAAAAACTTAATGTTCCACAGCTGCTTTTATTAGATATTTAAGTTTTTTTTATCACCAGTTCAGTGCCTGGGTACTTTTTAACAGGTACATATCTTGCACAAATGATATCATGAATATTTGCCCTTGTGCAACTTGTTTTGATAATTTTTTTGTACCCCATTGTCTCTTCTCTCTTGTCTCTTTCTATTTTTTTTCGCACATCTCCTTTAAGGTTATTTCTTAAAGGAGATGTATCCCCTGAAACCATGTAACCTTTATGCCAGTCTTTATAAATATAAATGTAGGTGAAATTGTGTAATGGAGTGCCTTTCGAGTTTCCACATAGTGACATAACATTTCGAAGATAGTCTTCAAATGAGCTAAGAATGCCTCTACAGGGGCTGCTATTTTCATCATGCTGAGAAATGTGTTTGATGAAAATGACAATTTTTTTGCGATAACCTGAACAACAACTGTTTGTGAACTGGCCAATGTGGCTTTGTGTCTGTATCTCTTTATTTATTGATAACAATTTTAAAAAGATGATTTTATTGAGTTACTTTGTATTAATTATTTTTTACCTTAATTTTGATTGAATGAACAATTGACTGTTTTCAGACTTTGGAAGCATGCCTTCTCCAGAATTCCACGGCATAACCACGCCTCCCGAAACTCTTGAGGATTATCACTGTGGGCAGATGCGTGGCCTTCAAGGTCACCATAACTCGTGCTACCTTGATGCCACACTTTTTAGTATGTTTGCGTTCACAAGTGTGTTTGATACTTTGCTGCATCGTCACAAAAAAAATGATGATTTGGAGGAATATGATAAAGTGCAGAGTGTGCTGAGAAACTGGATTGTCAATCCTCTCAGAATGTATGTAATGGCATCATAATTTAATCAACAGTTAATACATGGGGAAGTTTATTGGGAAGAGAGGAATAAAGTACATGTCACACACTGTTACACTGGATCCTTTTAGGAAATAGAGCAGCCACCCACCCATAAATGAGCAACCTCCCGCGAACTGTTTTGAATGTCTGGCTGACACTGGTTTTCAATTTAAATTTGTTGCACATGCAATTTTAGCAGTTCGTTATAGACCTTACCATAATGTAGGGTTCATTTTACGTGCCATGCAGTGGTGGTATCTTTCACATTGATCTTGCACTTTTACGTACAGATTTCATTGGAGTGTCATGTCAGATTCTTGAGGATAAATATCTTAGTGTTAAATATTGTGTTATTGCAGGACCGGTTTTGTTCGTGCAGACCGCCTTCTTGCGCTGAGACAACTTCTTGACCAGCTCAGTTCCACAGCAGGCCTAATAAATGAAGAAAAAGGTGATATGAAAACCTTAAAATTGTACATAAAAATTACCAAGTAGAACAGTGTATTACATTCACAAATCAGCATGATTTTGTGCACTCTTGAATGTCCACTCTCTTTTTCTTACTTCAACAGTTTCAAAATTACTTCGAGGTTTGCCACTGATTCTAGGGCATAGCTCATGGAGACAATTAAGCTTCAAGTGTGTCTCCTTTCTCTAATGCCGGAAAAAGGGATGATTTTTCACAGCCTGGCATGCTTTTAGTTCAGAGTAATGTGTTAGTTTCCTCTTGCCCTCCCTATGCATTTCCAACTCTTAAATGACCCGTTCTATTCAGTGGTCCTTAGAATGCGTTGGCAGTTGCTACTGAAATGTCTCCGTACAGGTCATCTTTTGTAAGCCGATTGCACCTTCAAAGAAAGGTGTGAGCCAGTCAAATTTAGAATAAAAAGTCAACGAAGATCCACTGTCTTTGTTGTTAGATTATCCTTGATCAAAGTTCCACTCAGCAGCTGAGCGCAAACTTGACCCAAACTATTTTTGATATTGTTGTCGTAATTTTTCAGACCCAGAAGAATTTTTAAACTCTCTCCTGCAACAAGTATTAAAAGCGGACCCTTTTCTTCACTTGAAGTAAGTTATTTTTAAATCCGTTTTCTGCACTTCATACTGTGTATGATTGGGGTTTTGCTCAAGCGCAAATAAAACCTTGCTGTATGGATTTCACAGGCCCCGAGATGTGCTAGCGAAGAAAGGTGAAGGAGCATTCTTGTACCAGATCATAACTGACAAGGATGAGTCGGTGAAAATTGCTCAGGTTCAAACTATGTTGGAGCAGTCTTTTATCTCAGCGGATCTCATACTATCTGAGGTAAGTGGGACGTGTGTTGATGCAAGTATTTTCTTAACGACATGGCAATTTCTAATTAACACGCTGCATTTTCGCTAGTAACCTTTGTAAGCCTTAGGTGATATTGTGAACAGCTTCACTCTCAGACGTGATCAGAGCATTTTCAAGCACAAAGGTGCCTCAAGCACAAAGATTATGTGCTAAGAAAATGTCAACAACGCGATATTGTGTGATTGAACACCAAATTCTCAGCGCCATGTTTACTAGTAATGTATGGCAGACAGTGCAGAGAATTGATATTTAGATCTGGGAGGGATGGGGTTAATTAAAAGCGTAACTACGTCACTTTTTTGCGTTTCGCATTTCATTTCCAAGTTTCGTCAGTTGTAATCCTCACATGAATCAACCTTCTTGGACATTGGTATGACTCAGTTGTTTGTTTTCACAGGTACCATCGTGTTTGATTCTTCAGATGCCTCGGTTTGGTAACAGATACAAAATGTACGACATGATTCTACCCAATCTGGAACTCGACGTCACTCACATCGTCGAAAATGGTGCGTGCTACAGGGTTCTTAGCTCTAGTTTCTCTGTGTCACTATTTGACGACCTAAAATCATGTACAAGGGTCGCTGCAAAAAAAAAAATGTGGGAAAGAACACTTTGTGTTAAAGTTTGTAACGATTTTAACGCCTTTTTTTAAAATAAGGAATTTGGCTGGGAAAACGCTCGAACATCAATAATTTGTTATGCATATTGTTATGTCAGTTTAACTTTTCTCACTAATGCAGGCGAACGTGGAAAGTTAAAAATCTGTTTTCAGGGCCAGAATAGACAAATCTCTATGAATCATAAGAATAAAATCGACTGGATTGCGAATTTTTTTCCCTCCGGCATAGATATCCTTAACAGTATCTAATTTTAGAACTTCCCAGAAATTCAGTTTCCAAATAAGAAATCCTTTCAACTAAATCACGTTAGTCTCATTCATGTCTCCTATTGCGCGTTACAATGACTTCAGTTCTGTGACTTACAACGTCACTTGACTTCACTATGTGACTTCGTCATGAAAAGAGCTTGTTGTTAACGAAGTTCGTTATGTTCCCAGTTCCCCGCGAATGTACCATGTGCGGCCACGACGTTGCTCAATACGAGTGCAAGAAGTGCTATGAAATAGGTCTCCTGAAAGACGGACCCGGAATAGCTAGCTACTGTAAAGGATGCAATGAGAAAATGCACGGTCATCGAAAACGTCAGGATCATAACCCAAAGCCGATACTTCTACCTCGAGCGCACAGTCTCTTCAGTGACGAAAAGAATACAGTGGAAAGACAGATAACAATCGATAAGCAGAAAATGGATCTCTTTGCTGTTGTCTGTATTGAGACAAGTCATTACGTGGCATTTGTTAAGTGTGGGAAGGATAAAAAGGCCCCCTGGTGCTTCTTTGACAGTATGGCGGACAGGAAAGGTGAGTCAGAACTCATGACTGGCTATGTTGGTCACCCCTTCACTTTTTGTGTGCGTTTTGTTTGTTTATGAAGGGAGGGAAAGTTCATAAAAATCACTAGAGATCAAAGACAGGTCACGACCTGACAGAAATTATGAGAAGTTATGCTTATTGTGCTTATCATTATCGTTCGGCTGAAATTCCGCTTTCAGTTGTTCTCATCTCCCAATTACATTCCTTTTTTAATTATTATTTTCGTTTTCACGGTTGTTCAATAGTTACATCGTAATCGATGTGTAAGGCGCCAGGGTACAAAATTCAAAATCAAAATCCTATTTTTTCGATCATTCATATGTAATCTGAATCCTTCAAGTTCCCGCCGGTCTTTCTTTAACTATCCTCGTTTCTATTTTACTGAAAGGTTTTCAATCTCGGTAAATATTATATTAAGGATATTCGATTTGGATATTTTACGTTTTTGGAAGCATAGCATCATCTCATGAGGGCTTAAAGATGATCAGGTCGGTTGAGTTCTTTTCAAAATTAAAATAGCTTAGGGTTTACATGTGATAAGATTTGAAGATTTTTTTTCAAGAAAAAGCTCTTGAGTTGGGTGTTGTAGATCAAAGAATTACGTGCTAATAGCTTTATGGATACTAGTAGTGCTTATAAAGTTCTTACTCATTTACTCTGTTTTTTTGCTGCCTTGCTTTTCAGGAGAAAGAAATGGTTACAATATCCCTGCTGTGACGCGTTGTCCCGAAGCACTGGAATGGCTCTCCAAAACCCCCGAAGAAATCATTGCAGCAAAGGAGAGAGGCGAGATGCCTGAAAAAGTACGTCGTCTGCTAGGAGATGGATATCTGTGTATGTACCAGAACTTGGACATGACTATGTATAAATAAATCAGGAGACATGCCAGTGGCCACGCCTCCAACACGTTCGAATTACGTCGTTTATGCGAGGATGAACCGCTTCTTAAGTAGGAAGTCAAGTTAACTACTCTACACCGCATGCAATGCACGTGTAAAATACTTGAGGAGGTGCCTCTCACTAGGGTATGTATTAGTATTTGGGAGAGAAATGTATATAAGGAAAAATACAAAAGTATTCTTTTTCAGGCGTATGCCTATAGTTTGTAAACTTATTTTTTAGCATCGCTCGCATTTCTGTTATGCGTCATGAGCAACGTTCATTGACACTAAAATGATGGAAAAATTGATAGTTGCATGTAAAGCAGAAGAGAATCATTCAAAATGAAAAACCAAAATTGAGAGCGATTTATCCATCACTTAGAAAGTAAGCAAAATCAAAATCTTGTCATGTTAAGTACATAGAACTTAACTGCTTTAAGTTTCATTTCACTTTAGTCGAATACAATACGAACAGTAGAATTTGTACAGTTACAGTGAACTCAAAAGATTGATAGACAATAAATTTTGTAAGCTTGTGATGTCTAACGAAACTATGTTAAGAGTGAAAGGGTTTCGTAGACGCGTAAAAATTATACTGTGCAGGTAGAGGTTTACGCGACGGGGAGGGGGGGAGGGGTGAAACGGGTTGAAGGATGGGAGGTTAAAATGTGGACAACTTTACATGGAGTCTAAGTGCTCAGTTAGTTTAGTCTAGGCTCCTAAAAGAGTATAGTTAATTCAATTTTTACGAAAACTTCTGTAGCGTTTGGTTCAATTCCTTGATATATGGTTAGCTTTTGTTATAATCCGCGTTTGGGTAGTACTCTTGTACTTCCATTTGTATTCAGAAAAAATTCAGAAACATTAAATAAATTTATTTGCATTACTTTACATTGTATTTCCCTTTTGATCTCCATCATCTTGCCGTTGTGGCTGCTGCAAAGATTCATATTTCAGAAGTAATCTGGCGATCGACACAATTCTTGAAACTGTTTGGAAATGCATTTTTGTATTAATGCACTTCTTCTTACAGGTTTCTCGCAAAGTTTGAATAACCCGTCACAATTTACTACACCACTGAGTAGAGTTTTATTTTTCGGACACTAACTACAAATGGATCGCATAGAATATTGTTTATTAAATCCCAAATATATCAAGTGCCGTCTGATAGCACTTCAGGGCGGAACAAATGCCCCATAATAGACCAGGGTTGACACACCTGTCAACTCAGTGGTCTCCGGTGGTGATCTTTCGATAGAGGCATTGGGAAAGCTCTGTGTTCTAGATTGACTTTGACAAACAATTAAATTCACTTGTAAACAGACATTTTTTTTCTTACATCCAGTTTTAAGAAATAAATTCTTTACTACTTACATGAACACGACAACAAACTACTTGGACCAGAGGCGATAAGTGGCTGTCCGAGAAAATTGATTACACGAGTATAGAACAGAACTTAGTTATCCGTATCTTAATCTCTGTAGCGATTCTCCCCTTCCCTCAACGTAAACATAAATATTCAGTATTTATGCATTTCGTCAAACACATAAAATTAGGTCTCCTCCGCGGAGTTTTAATTGACTTCTGTTTTTAAGACTATGAGAGCAACAAAAGATTTCAATAGCACTACTACTACTGCAGTTTAAGACAGACCTTTCGAACACACATTTACTTCCTTGGTTTAATTCAATGATGAATTCACTCATATTATTTCTAAGGTTCATCATTATGTTAAGTAATTGCTAGCTTTTTCATGGACTATAGAAATCACCGGGACAGAAATGTAAGAAAGGAACAACAGAAAAAAATAATAAAGTGTTATTTCCAGTGGACTTGTACCGGCCCTTCTACAACAGAAAACCGTCCATGGATCCAGTTCTAGGAGACTTCCGCAAAGCCCTTTTCTTTCATTACAACAACACTATCTTCTTTCATCTGAAGGTTCACCGATACACGCAGCAAGACACCAACGTAGGGCTCGTTCGCACTGAGAAGAGAGTGAGTCCTTAACAACTGAAATGAAATTCTACATTATGCGTTCCTTATTACATGCTTCCTGATACAAAAAGAGTCCATGTAAAACCAACAAAAACTACATTATTAATTTAGTAAGCTTTCATTCCACCTAAAGACGCACTCCCCGCCAACATCACTGCTTGGAATTGCACCTGGGTTAATCTACTAACATTTGCGCTTCTTTCTCTTACTTTTAGTGAAAAATGAAATTTAATGGCTGGTATAAAGAAGATACTGTACAAAATAAATCAAATGTATTAAAAGAACACATTTTATCCTATAAAGGTTGTGTAACCAATGGAAATTTTCAAAAAAAAAAAAAAAAAAAAAATTGGCCGTGACTGTGAAAGGTTTTTCGCGTGAAAAAGTGTAAGAGATAAAATAGTTCAATCAATTATTTTGAGACAGTTTTGATTTATAGATTCCATCAATGACCTAACTATTCTTAACGGAGTGAACGCTACTGTTTTGTACAGGAATCTGATGTCCAGAAGTCCTTCATGAGAAAACAATACTCTTGTTGGAGTGGCATGGCGTTTGTTAGTGATATAGGTTCATGTGGTTCCTCCTTCAGCGATCCTTGACCTCTCTTTTGATTCTCTTGGAAAGTCGACCGAACACAAGTCCGCCAACAAAAATAAGAGCTAAGCAAGTTGCAAAAATGACGAAGAAGTAGTTCTTGGATGGCGAAGCGGAGATAGCAACAGCAAGATCACCGATGGTTTCAGGCGGGGCAACCTATAAAACAAAATTTGTCCAAATTAATACTGGTAATAGCGACGAGTAATCAGAGGAGCGATTCACAAATGAAAACCTCTGTAACAGGATGATTGCAAACACAAGGAAGTTCTCTAAGTAACCAAGGAAGGAATTCGGATCAATATCAGTATCTAAGCAACTGCCTACCTACCCCTCCCCTAACTCAACAACAGTCAATTGATAACAAGTTAGGGTTAATGTTGGGTTAGGGGAGAGGTAGGTGGGCAGTTGCCCAGATACTGATATTGATCCAGGAATTCTTAAGCATTTTTTTAAAAAGTACACCTTACAAATCTCTTTCCAGTATATTGGTCCTTTCAAAAAGGACTCAAAAGAGAGAGAGAGAGATAAAAAATGGACATGTTTTAGCCAAACATCGAACAAATTGGGATTATAAAATGAAATTTTTGAGTAAGTCGAGAAAGCAGTGTAAGATCAGCCATGCAGCCTATCTTCTTAGTTTGGTGAGTGCATATTCAGCGGAAGTTTCATCAGTTCGTACCCTAGCAGCTACTTCCCACATCTTCATTCTGTTCGTCAAGTGTGCCAGGCATTCCCTGTCAAAGCGTGCCCGGTTTGAGTCGTGAGCCTCCAAGAGACACTTCATTACTGTATAAAAGAAGAGAAAAAAATCAGTTTAAAAGAGGGCCTTTTCACATGGTTAGTAGCTGTCATGTTAATGCGTCTGAGCAAAAGAAAACGAGGGAAAAAAGACAAGGCAAAAAGAGTTCATATCCCAGCAGGTCGGCTCAGCACACCAACATAAGAACTGTAATGTAATATGAAAGAGCTCTATATTGTACAACAAAGTAGTAAAGTTACAAGATAATAAATTTAGAAAACTTTTATTTAATCACTCGTATATTGCATGCGCTCTTACTGATCAAAATAATATAAATATTTTTTTATACCAGTAAACCCACAGCTACTTTCCGGTAACAGTAATCCGCGTTCCCTACCGCTCTGACAGGGTAATGACTCACTTGAAAAGTTGTTTGTCGACATCTCTTACAACTCGCGTGAAACGTTACTCCGGTTAACCGATAGAAACAGCTGTCAACTTTTAAATTAAACAACAATGTTTACTGCACGGTATTATACTGGTACCTTTTCCTCGTCCAAATGGTACATCTGAACAGTGACGTTTGACATCTACTGCACATGCCTTGTATAGCACAGGGTCAGATTGTATATCTGTGCGGCCTTCTCTCATCTGCCGAACTATTTCCTGCAAAAAAAGCAACATGTGAAAAGGTAGTCATCATAGACTTACTTTGATTTAACAAAGCATCTCGAGTGAGACTGCTGACTGTAGTTAACTCGAAAAGGAACGAAAGCTTTAGATGAGAAGTAAACCACCTAATTTTTCAACTCCACTATTAAATAAAAGTAAACATGAATGGTGACCACATTGTGCATTCTAAAGTTTACCCTAACCAATAGTGAAGTATAATAATTCAAATGCGTTGGAAATTCGACTAAGGATGCAACCATTTTGAATATTGCTTAGCAACCTGGCCGTTCACCTGTGAGGTGGGTCTGAATCTTCTTTGTACCAATTTCTTGGTGATCAGTTTTTACAATTAGGTGCATGACAAAAACGCATTCTTAATTCATTAATTTTAGCGATAACAAGTGAAACGATTGTTTTTGAACATCGCTTTGTGGTATCGAATTGCGTGTGCGGCTAGGTAACTGAGTTGTTTGCTCACGTATCCATAACTATCCCCGAACAATTCAGCGCAAGAAGTTTCTTACCCAACTGACTCACCCTTCCCTCCCTCCCTATTCACCACTCCATTCCACCTTGACAGACATACAGCTACTTATACAGAAAAGTTGCTGAAATTTATAACCGTGTATACTTTTTAATGGCGGAAATGAAGAAGAAAATACATGGCTTCAGCGCATCCATCTTCCAGGGAAGAGAAGATAAGAGGACAAAAAGACAGAGCAACGAGAAACTCAGTTACGCGTTTGTGCGAAGGGCCCCTCGAGGAAGAAAACAAACATACTAAACGTAGTCTAATGCAAAGACGGCCAAAAACAAAACAGGAAATAAAATACGAAAACAATCGAATCTCCAGCTGTGGCAAAAAGCCGTAAATAGTCTCAGTAATCTTTAACCACTACATACCACTCGACATTCCTTTTTTCCAACTGATCCTAAATGTTCTTTGAGGCAGTTTTCCACGTTAGACGGCGGAACACCATTACAAAACTTCTTAATCTAATAGGAGACAAATAAAATACATTTTCCCGGCTATTTTTCAACACAGAACACTATAATCATAGATCTAAATGCTCTTCTGCAATGAAGAGCAAAATGAACTTCAACCATAATTGATTAACCACAGACTCCCGAAGACTATCAATGAGAACGACGACTATTCTTAATAGGTAGTAGTCTTGACAAGTTTAACCAGTTCGAAGACCACTCTTAGATTTTAACGAACAAACTGTGACACTTCTCCGAGCAGTTCTCCATTTAACTTCCTGGCACTATTGGATAAGGGTTAGCTAAGCCAACCGACTCAACATTAGACATAAGTTGAACTTCAAAATCCTAGATTCAAGACAG